GGTCCTCCTTCCTCACACCTCTTGTCCCCCTGGCCCCCTCTTAGCCTTCTTTCTTTATACTGTAAACCCTGTATTTAATATCAGATATATTTTAGTCCCCTCTTCCCTAAAGACCCCTTCTTTACCTCACATAGTTCCCTTTCTTGTTTCATGACTATACATATACCTACACCCGTACCAGCACCACATGTATATATCCATATACAAATTAAAATCTAGGAGCCACATATGAAGGAAAACATACAGTATTTGTCTTGCTAAGTCCGGCTTATTTTGCTTAACATAATAATCTTCAGTTGTATCCATTTTTTCTGCAAATACTTTTTTTTGCAAATATTTCAAAAATTTCATTATTTATAGTCTATCTCCTAAGGAATACATACCACATTTTCTTTGTCTGTTCATCTACATTTAGGTTGGTTCCATTTATTAGCTGCTTTATTCAAAAGAAGTGACCTAGCCGGGCGTTGGTGACACATGCCTTTAATCCCAGCACTCGGGAGGCAGAGGCAGGTGGATCTCTGTGAGTTTGAGACCAGCCTGGTCTACAAGAGCTAGTTCCAGGACAGCCTCCAAAGCCACAGAGAAACCCTGTCTCGAAAAACCAACCAACCAACCAAACAAACAAAAAAACAAAAGAAGTGATTTATCCTGTACAGTAGGTCACATTAACACAGCCTAGCTCAGGGTGCTCTTTACTCAGGAGCCTGTCAGGCACCTTTTTCTTACTTCCATTTTGCAAGTAAGGAAATTGCATTTTGGAGGAGTTAAGCAATTGATGAAAATTGTGCATGCGTGCTGTGCTGTGCTGTGCTGTGCTGTGCTGTGCTGTGCATTCACATGTGGGAGTGGTGGTGTAATTTAAGAAAAGCCGGTCAAGAGGAAAGATGCCATGTGACAGAGTTCAAGCAGAGGGATTTTTTTTAATTAGGCGGAAGGGATTGTACAAAGGGTAAAGGGGAGGGGGGAAGATTGACCTTTGGGGACAGGAGCAGTGGGAGAGAGGAAAGAGGCAGAGAGAGAGAGAGAGAGAGAGAGAGAGAGGGGGGAGGGAGGGAGGGAGGGAGGATGGGAGGTGTGCAGAGCCCCTTTAAAAGGGACTGTAGTGAATGTGGACAGGTGGTGCTCTTAGTGTCTGCAGCTGAAGGGGTATCCTGTCAGAACACCAAGGACAGGCCCGTACAGATGCCTGAATACTAACAAGTGGAGTCCAGAGGACAGTGTCATCCTCAAGTGCTCTTCACCTGGGTTCTTTTGTTTTGTTTTGAGACTTGGTTTCTTATGGACCTGGGATTTTCCAAGTAGCCTAGGGTGGTTGGCCTCTGAGCCCAAGGGATCCTCCTGTTGTCACCTCCCTACTTCTGAGATTACAAGCACATGCCACCATACCTGGATTTTTTTTAAATGTGGATTTTGGGAATCAAACTCACAAACGCCTGTCTAGTTCTAGGACTCACACATTTTAGGAGCATGGCAATGCTTCCGATTTTTGGCTGGTGTATTAGTTATTTATTGCTGAGATGGAGTACATGATAAGGGCACCTTAAGAGGCAGAGGGCTTACTTGGGGTCTTGGTTTGAAAGTGTGGTGCATCATGGCTGGAAAGGCCTAGTGATGGGAATGGCTCTCAGCTGGGATTCTTACTGCCTCACATCTTAACAGAACAGGAAGCATAGAGCAGGCACTGTTGGTTTCTCCACTCTCTTTCTCCTTATGTTTAGTCTGGGACCTGAGACCATGACCATGGAAGCTGCCACCTGCTCTGGGGAGGACTTCACTCCACAGTTAAACCTCTCTGGGAACTCTTACAGACACACCTGTCTGTCTTTTAGGTGATTCTAAATCCAGTTAAATTGACAATGAAGATTAACCACCACACTGACAATCCTCCTTTATAGAATAGTGCACAGTAATCAGGAACCAGTGTTTTGATGTTTTTAGAAACTGTTTCAGTTGTTATTTGTGCTCATAGACATGGTAATAATACATTGAAAAACAAAAACAAATATGCATTAAAATCACATTATAAAGAAGATTATTGTTGTTATTATTTTTGTTTTTTCCTGACAGAGTTTCTCTGTATTGTTTTTGGAATCTGTCCTGGAACTAGCTCTGGAGACCAGGCTGGCCTCGAACTCACAGAGATCCCCCTGCCTCTGCCTCCCCAGTGCTTGGATTAAAGGCCTGTGCCACCAAAGCCTGTCAGGAAGATTATTATTTTTTAAGAAAACTTTTTCTGAAAATACAACAGTGGAATTTGGGCTTGTTCTTAAATCAAAAACTACTTTCTTTTTTCCTTTTTTTTGACATTTTAAAATTTGAATTACAGACAAGATTGAATTACATGACAATCCCAGTTCCCTTCTCCCTTCCTTCCTCCCCCACCCCCCCAACTAAAACCTTTGGAGTGAGAATGTTATTTCCTTTGAGATCATGGTGCTGTGGCAAGAGAGCTCATAATTTGTAATGTGGTCTTGGGTGGGTCTATCTTTTAGTGAGACAATGGTTCTGATTTGTATTGTTATAAGTGATACACATCGAAACACGGCCATATTTTTGCAACAGTCTGGTTTTCTCAATCAGCTGAATGGAATGCTTCATGTGCTTGTTTTCTTCATCTGAATGATTTTTGAAAAACCTGTAAATTTGACACCCTATTTTTTGAGGTCGAGGGACTGGCAGGTATAGAGTTAGAGTATCTAAGAAGATCATTAGATATACTTGGCAAGCAGTTAGTTAATTGAGATGTAAATATATTTTAATTAGGTGGGAAGCCATATTACTTTTATGCAGACACAGTAGTTATCGTAACCTTCTTTTATGTCATTTTTTTCTTTAAATTTTTGGTTTTTCGAGACAGGGTTCCTCTGTATTGCTTTGGAGTCTGTCCTGGAACTCTCTCTGTAGACAGGCTGGCCTTGAACTCACAGAGATCCATCTGCCTCTGCCTCCTGAGTGCTGGGATTAAAGGTGTGCGCTGCCACACCTGACTTATTTCTTATTTTTTAATGAATCACCCACCCAACCTCCCCCCTTTTTTGAGACTCTATATGTAAACCAGACTGGCCATAAGCTCAGTCTTCCTTCTTTTACCTTCCAATTGCTTAGATTATAGGTTTGTAACACCATGCTTGGTCCTAGACTTTAAAAAAAGATCCTCACTAGATCCCTAATTTCTCTACTTTTCCATTTATTTATCCAACAAACATTTGAATGCTATGTGATAGTAGGTTCCAGGGCTAGTCTGTGCTCATAGGGATCTAGGTTAATGAAAGACTCAAACATGAAGGAAATACTACAAATCAGGGAGATGATGGGAATAGTGAAAGTGTCAAAGGTTCTAATATAACCTAAGTTGTTGAAAGGCAAGGTACAAAGAAAATCTTGAGAAATGGGTGAATAATTATTTTGCCAGGCAAAAATTGGGATTGATCATTCTAGGGCAAGGAGTACATTTTGCAAAATCCATGTCTCGGGAAGCAGCTTGACAAGCTTGAGTAACAGCAGAAAGGCCCAAGGGGCTGCGGTGAGGTTATGTGTTCACCTGCATTTCCATGTGGGATGGGGGTGGGGAGTATCCCATCAGGCAAAGCGTCTGTATTTTATGTTGAATCACCAAGCAATGCATATGTTCTTGTTCCTCAGAACTCCCCTATAAAGTGATGTGGTATGTAGATGGGTGACCGTATTATCATCCAAACTAGGATATTCTTGTGAATGAGAGAGAGGACAGTGTTAATTATGCTGGTATAATGGCCATAAAGCAATACATAGACAACTTTTCTAAACCACTCCGGCAGGCTTTTTTTAAAGTTGCAAGAAGCTATGCTGTGCAATGACAGTCAGTTACATGGTCTTGCTTTCTCACCCTCTCTTCACCCCTGAGTGCTGAGGAGAGAGGGCCACCAGGGCCACCTGTACCAAGTCTGGTCTATAGAAGCATAGCCTTATGGCCTGTCCAGTTGTAATCCAGAGTTGTTCAGACTGCCAGTTCATGATATCCAACCAGGTCTTATTAATAGAATTTCAGAATCTAAGTCTTAAAAACATACAGGAAAGGAAAGTTTCAACTTTAGCACATGAATTTTCCTCACTAGAAACTTTTCTTTACTTCTTCTCATGGATGATATGACCTAATTAATTGTAAACCCCCCAAGGGTAGTCAGGCAGAATGGTTGTGGTTCAACTCTGAGAGTGTTCTTTAGTGAATTGGTCCTTGTGGATAATGCATGAAGCTTTCTTATATCTGTCAAACCCTCTACAGCAGTGATAGTGGCATGCAGTAATAAATCTAACCTTTAAGAAATAAGAAATCTTCATTATTGATTTGATTTTGCTTTTATGGAATCAACTGTTTGTCTGAGTCTGTAGAATAAGTATTCCTGTAGCCTTTTTTCCTATTCCTTGTACCCAAGTTACTATCCATAACAGGGCACTTGAAGGAAACTGGCTAATCTCTTCAGTTTACTGAGAAATGGGTTGTCCTGTATTATGACCACCTTTAGCATCTCTAACTGCAGCCCCAGTTGAGACTTTGGTACCTCTCAAACTTTTATTTGGCACCCTACCTCAGACCTTCAACAAAATGGCTTGACCACCTTCCAAGAAAATAATATTTCATGTTTATATTCAGCCAAATACTGAAGACACTTTGCCATATTTCACTATTCCTTTTTTTTTATTTTATTAGTTCAAATTAGGAACAAGCTTGCTTCAGATGTCCCTTCTCCCTCTCCCTCCCCTCCCCTTCAACATCCCACCTGCCCCTAGCTATCCTCCCTCTACTCCCCAGGTAGGGTAAGGCCCTCAAAAGGGGCTCCCCAAAGTCTACCACATCATCCTGGGCCAGGCCTAGGCCCTACCCCATGTGTCCAGGTCAAGAGAGCATCCCTTCACAAGGGATAGGCTCTCAAAATCCCTTCTTTTTTTTAAGACCTTACATATTTAATACTCACTGTTTCTTTTTAAGTGCATTAAAACTTTCATTTCTCTTTTTCAAGCCAGGAAATGTGAAGAATTCACCTGGAAATAAGTAGAAAACTCCATGCTCTGCCCATTTTAATCAGGTAAAGAATAAAACAAGTGAACAAGCAAAAAACCTCTGGTTATTTTCAGCATTGTTAGTGTTGGCTAAAGTGATTTATTGTTAACTAGCACTTTCACCTTGATGTGGAAACGTAAGGGTCATATTTTATAATGTCTTTAATTTCTGGCTTTAAGTGCTATCCATGGCTTTTTTAATTATATTTTTGTTTCTTTCTGGGAAGTACCAGGGTCTTTTAGATAAGCTAGAACCAGACATAGGTTAGAAATGCAATGCAATTTCTTTTGGTGTTATGTTCATCTCACTATTATTCTTCATCTGTTTGTTTAATATTTACTTACCAAGCACTTGCTAAGTACCAAAACATTAATTATATTAGTATTTTGTGTATATGTTAAAAGTACATAATAGGGCTTGTGATTTCCTGATAGTGAGAATATTATAAGGAATTAAAAATTAACTTAGATATTCAGCTGCATGAAACTAGCTTGGTTATGATAGATCTATAACGAGTATTAATATTGTTTTAATAAAACTCAATTGCATGGGAGCATGCGTGAATTTTTTTGTGGTACTAGGATTGAACCCATGACTTCACACATGCTGGACAAGTACTCTCTCCACTCCTGCCTGAGCTATACCCATAGCCCTTCCTCTCCTTTTTATTTTCTAGACACTTTTTCATAAAGTTGCCTGTACTGGCCTTGAATTTGCCATCTTCAAGCTTCAGCTTCCTGAGTAGCTAGGATGACAGGCCCAGAACCACAATTATTAAATGGAGAATAAAGGCAGTATATTTTGTTAGACTAGGAGGTATATAGAAATTTAAATGTATATTTTTATTTCTAAATATATGTTCACATTTCCTGCCATGAATATGGGTTTTCTTTTATGATCAGGTGTGTGTGTGTGTGTGTGTGTGTGTGTGTGTGTGTGTGTGTGTGTGTATGTCACGATTGAACCCAAGGCTTCACACATGCCAGGTAAGCATTCTACTAGTGGGCTAAAACTCAGCCCATCTTAAAAAGTTGTTATATTACTGTATATCACAGTTACTTTTTAAAATTCACAGAACTCTGGGTTTGAGGTTTTACTTTCTCAACTATCTCCATGTTTTTAGAGAGCCAGAGAGTCATATCACTAGGAATTTGAGAGATCATACGGTGCAACCCCAAGCCTCAAGCAGAATCCACCATTGCTCTGCTAGTCACCCCCTTTTACACTTCCATTGATAGGAAACACCTCACAGGGCAGCTGTCTTTGGACAGTTCTGATAGTTTAGGAAGCTGTTGCTTGTATTAATCCAAAGATACTTCCTTGTAAATCCTATCTAGTGGTTTTGATCCTGGTTGATGGGTCACAGAGAGCAAATCCAGTTCCCCTTTGACATTTATACTAATGCGAAGTCAGTAGTTCTCTTCTGTTATACAAATAATTTAATAACTGACACTAAGCTCTTGTTAAAAGGCAAAGGCTTAGGGCTGGGGAGATGGCTCAGAGGTTAAGAGCACTGCTTACTCTTCCAGAGGTCCTGAGTTCAATTCCCAGCAACCATATGGTGGCTCACAACCATCTGCAATGAGATCTGGTGCCCTCTACTGGCCTGCAGGCATTCATGCAAGCCGAACACTGTATACATAATAAATAAATAAATCTTTTAAAAAAGGCAGAGGCTTAGGCTCTACCCTAGAATTGGCATTTCTGTGAATATGTTAGCAGAAGGGAGACTAGTGGGCTTCCAGAGAGCCCCACGTCCTTTAGATCCTTTACATAGAATGTGCTTGTATTTCTCTATAGGGATAAGATCTAACAAAGCAAAAGTAGGTAATAAGCCATTTCAGTGTTCAGAGGCATTCTAGACCAGGTTCTCAACTTACTGCATATACAACCTTGATTTTTAGTCCTGAATCTTTAGAACTTTATTGATGGTTTGCTTTTTAATTATAAAACCAGTAGGGGGCTAGGTAGCTGACTTAGTCAGCAAAGTGCTTGCCATGTAAAACATGACAACCTAGGTTTGGATTCCCAGCACCAATTAAAAAGCTAGGTGTGGTGGCATGTTCCTGTAATCCTAGCACCGGAGCAGTGGAGACAGATGGATTCCTGGAGTGTGATGGCTGGTTAATCTGGACAATACAGTGTGCTCCAGGTTCATTGAGAGACCGTGTCTCAAAACTAAGGTAGAGAGTGATGAGAAAGATACCCAGTGTCAACCTTTGTCCAACAGGTTCATGTGCAACTATATGTCCACATGAATGAACACATGCATACACACACATACTGCACACATAAAATACCGAGAGTATATGTTGGTTGTAACTAGTTTGTTGGAAGCTAGGAATGGAAGCTGAGGCTTTACACACAGTAGATAAGCACCCCATCTCTGAGTATACCCCAGCCCCAGATAAACATTTTAAAAGCTTGCCTAACAATGCATTGCTCATTTTCTTTATATTGTTTTGCAAGTGCACGGAAAATTCCATGAAGAGTATGTAAAATTTTATCATCATACCAAAAGAAACTAACAGTAATTCCTTAATACCGTCTAATGTCGAGTTAGTGTATAGATTTTCCTGTTTGTGTCAGTAATAACTTTATTATTTTTTTGTGATACATCTTGGATTTGTGATTCTTCTGCCTCAGCATGCTGAGTGCTGGGGATACGGCTTTGTACAGCCATACTGGCCTTTCAGTAATAACTTTTGTAGTTGGTTTATTTGAACCAGGACTCAAACATCATCTGTCCTTCACATTTTAGTGATTAAGTCTCTTCATTGTCTTTTAAATGTAATAGTTTCCTGTTCCTCATTTATTCATCGAAAAACTTGGCTTTTTTGGTCTTAAGTTTGCCATGTTCAAATGGTGGCTAAATTATCCATTTAGTGCCAACTACACTTTTCTCTTCATCCTTTCTTCCCATACAGCAACAGTTGGATCTGAAAGCTTGATTAGATTTAGGCTGTGATTTTTGTTTATATATCTAATAGCACTATGTTTAATTGTGTTAAGTAATGACTTTGATTCTTCAGCTTAATGTATTGTGTATATTCTCCATCAGTATTTGTAGATCCATTTTGCTCCTTCCTTATTTACATAGTTAGTTCCTAGTCTATACTTTTACTGTGGCTTAATTAATCTTTGCCAATTAATATAGGTTGTTTCCAGTATTTAACAAAACAGTAAATCTGCTAAATTCTTAGAAATAAAAAAAAGGTTAATAAATTGAGAGAGAACAACTAGCTAGTTGTTTGCATGTTTAAGAATTTTTGATTTTTACATTAAAAGATCAGTGAATAGTCAATCACTGGTTTCTCCAATGTTGGGCTATATGCCCAGTGCTAGAGTGCTTGCTTAACTTGCGTGAGGCCCTAGGTTCAATCCCCAGCAATACAAATATTTATATACTTCCAGTTGCTGAGCATGTTCATCACATATGAAGGAAAAGACAATCTGGGCTTTGGTGTAAGTTTGTGTGTGCTTCATTCGTGGAAGGAAGGGTATGAGGTAGACAAAGGTATAAAGAAAAGACATCCAGTGGTCTGAGGATGATGGAATTGTATTCTCCTTCAGCTGATACACAGAAGTATGTCTTGGTCTTCAGAGGGCAAGAGGTACATGGCATTTGCTGTGCCATGTAGGCATGTACTTTGCATCATCCACATACCTTAGTATGCTTGGGTACTCAGCTGGTTGGAAGTCTGAATGTAGTGTGGATGGAGAACAAATCTGAGTTTCGGTTCACTCATCTGCAAAATGAGACTAGGCACTGTGCTCTCTAGTTCATTCTCTTTATGGTGATGAAATAGTAATGTAAAATTATACTGTTTATTAATTTAAACCTAAATAAATATCAAAATGCATGATTTTAGAGTCATTTTTGTTTTCCTGGGTACAGTTAACATACTTTTCTTTCTTTCTTTTAGTTATAGGTAAACATTGGAAACTCCAGACGGTAAATCAGTATTTCTACAAACAAATGGCAGAGAGTCAGTATTGGATATAGTAAACTGGCTTTCTTCAGGAAAAACAACACTGAGCCTCTTTGCTATCATCTTGGGTGATGCCATATTCTAGACCAACTAATCTACAACTTTTCATTTGGAAATATGTATAAGCCTTAGAACTCCTCATTCTTATATCACTATTTATGTACATAATTAAAATCCAGATTCAAACAGAGCTGGCCTGTTTTCTTTACTGATATGAGTAACGGGTTAAGTGAGCATGGTATGGTTTATGTGTACACATGGTTACTGTGAGAGGCTCATTTCTGTGCATCAGTGTGTGTATCTGTTTGTCTGCATGCACATGTACAGTGGATGGAGGATGTATGCATGCATGAGCGTGTGTGCTAAAGGCAATGTTTTTACTTTTTTAAGGATTGGCTTTTATTTGCCTCACTTTGAGATCTTTTGTTTGTTTGCTTGCTTATTGTTGAAATTTATTTTCATCACACCATTTCTTGTTTCCTTTTGTTCCCTTCAGATATTCACATATACCCCTCCCTGCTCTCTTTTAGCTCCATGGCCTCTTTTGGCATCAATTGTTATTGTGTGTGTGTGTGTGTGTGTGTATGTGTGTATACACATATATACATACACATACGTATATATTCCCAACTGTAACCTCTTCAGTCCATATAATGTTATTTGTATGTATGTTTTGGGCCAACTGTTTGGCACTGGATAACCAATTAGTGTGCTCTTCCCTGGCAATATTTACTCTTTAGGGCAGGACCATTTGGCAGTTAGAAGAGTGGACTCCACAACCCAGAAGTGAGGAGAAGAGCTTAGAGATGATGCTTCAGAAACCAACAGAAGGAGCCAGATTCTCAACTGAGGTGGTTTGAATGACAATGGTCCCAAATACTCATGTTTGAATACTCGGTCCACAGTGAATAGAGCTGTTTGGGAATGATTAGGAGGTATGGCCTTATGTCGGAGGAGGTGTGTCACTAGGGGTGGGCTTTGAGGTTTCAAAAGCCTACGGCAGGCCCAGTTGTGTTCACTCTCTCTGCCTGTGGATCCAGATGTAAAGCTCTCAACCACTGCTCCAGAGCCATGCCTGTGTGCTTTCTGCTGTGATGACCGTGGACTAACCTCTGAAACTGTAAGCAAGCCTCCAGTTAAACGCTTTCTTTTATAGGGGTTGCCTTGGTCATGGTGTATCTTCATGGCAGTAGAACAGTAATTAAGACACTGACACATTCAGAAAATAGTAATAATGACTTTGATTGTTTTGGTTGCCTCCTAGTTTGTGTAGGTCTTCCAGGGAGAAATGCATACTGAAGTAGTGTGTTCATGGCTAGCGGGGCAATGAAGATACTGCTATGTGTACTAGCTCCCTGTCTGTGGCTTCCCTTTTTGTGGTTCCTTAATGTTCTTGGAACTCTGTATTTCTAGGGTGAATGGGACCATCAGGAGCCTCTTTTGACTGGTCGGTCACTCAGCCCAGAAGGTTGGCAAGTATACAGCATGTGAGAAGGGATGTAGAATTTTCAAATTTCAATAAGATTTGGAAACTAATCCTTTGCATTCTTGCACTGTCAGTTTAGTTCCTAATTGTTGATCTTGCAGATTTGGTAGCAAGTGGAAAGACAGGAAACACACAAATTAGGTGTATACTTATTAAATTAATATCAAATACTTTTAACAGAGCTAAAGTGACAGGAACAGTGCTGTGTTGTTATTTGATTAATGGGCTGAAACAAATTTGACTCTATAAGAATTCTCCTAGTTTCCCAGAAACCATTTGTTTTCTCTTATGATGAAGTGCTTTTGTATTACTGGACCAATATTCTGCATGTATTTAAGACTTTATTTATTCTTGTTATTTTAGACTTTCTTCATTTGGCTCATCTTTGTCGTCACCTCTACAAAGTAGAGATGCCACATGAGTTTCTTCACTGAGATTACTTGATTTACACCTCAGCACGCTTTGAAGATTATTTTTCAATAATGACCTGAGTATCTTCTAACTGTAAGGTATTGCTTTCCACTACTATCTTTTTAGTCATGATTGAACGTTACTTTAAGACTTACCTTCTCCGTGGGGAGATGGGATTGGGTATTTCAGAGCTGTCTCCTGATAGTATATGTTCCATGTTTGGTGCCACAGAGAAGTTCACATGTGTTTACCAACACAGTCACGTTTCTGATATATGTATGCTCACCTGTGTGCAGTTCCACAGGTGGTTCTTATGTTCCACATGTGCAGTTCCACATATGTCAGTATGTATGCAAATGTTCACTTGTGTGCAGTTCTGTTTTGTCCACATGTGCAGTTCCACATATGTCAGTATGTATGCAAATGTTCACTTGTATGCAGTTCTGTTTTATTTTGTTTGTTTGTTTTGTTTGAGACAAAGTTTTTCTGTGTAGCCCTGGCTGTCCTAGAGCAAGCTCTGTAGTCCATGCTGGCCTCAAACTCAGATCTGTCTGCCTACTTCTGCCTCCTGAGTGCTGGGAATAAAAGTATGTGCCACCCTGCCCAGCTTGTTGTGTGCAGTCCTGGATGGTAGGAGTATGTTGGAGCATATGTGAGTGTTTACATGCAGGCAGTCCTAGGTGTGATTACATGTTAGTACATATGTGATATTCACACATGTACAATTCCTGAGCACAGGAACGTGCCAGTGTGTATGATTGTTTACATATGTGCAGTTCCCAAGCATGGCCACATGGTGGTGTGTGTGTGTGGTCACACACAGACAGTCCCTGACCAAGGTCATATGTTGGCACATATGTGTGTGTTCACATGCATGAAAATCTGAGTCCTGACTTACGTTGGTACATATGCATAGCCACTTGTGTGGTTCTGAGCATGGTTGCATGTTAGTGCATATGTGTGTTCACATGTGCACTATTTCTGATCATGGGAATATGTTGGTGCATATGTAAATGTCCATACATGTGGAAACCTAAGTGTGGTCACATGTGGGCGCATATGTCGTGTATGTAGTGGGCTCATATGGTACATATGTGCCTGCTCACCTATATGAAATTCTATACAAGGTCATGTCAGTGAAAGCATATAGTGTTAACATATGTGTATTTCCCGACCATGTTTCTATGTTGGCACATGTGCACGTGTTCAGATGTGTGCAGTTCTTGGGTTTGCTGGCTAGTTTTTTGTCAGCTTGACACATGGTAGAGTTATTTGAGAGGAGGGAACCTCAGTTAAGAAAATGTTCCCATAAGATTGGGATGTAGTCAAGCCTGTAGTGCGTTTTCTAAATTAGTGATTAATGGATGAGAGCCCAGCCAGTTGTGAGTGGTATCACCCCTGAGCTGGTGATCCGGGGTTCTATAAGAAAGCAGGCCGAGCAAGCCATGGGGAGCAAGCCAGCAAGCAGCACTTCTTCATGGCCTTAGCATCAGCTTCTGCCTCCAACGTTCGTCCAGTTTGAGTTCCTGCCGTGGCTTTCCTCAAAGGACTGTGACTCGGGATATGTAAGTAAGCCAAATCAACCCTTTCCGCCCTAAGTTGCTTTTGGTCATGGTGTTTATCACAGCAGTAGAAAAACTAACTAAGACAGTAGACAAAGTTATATACTGGCATATATGCATGTCACATGCATGTACTTTCCCAGCATACACATCAGTGCATCTATGCATGTTCACATCTACGCAGTCCCATTCATGGTCCTATGTCAGTGGACATGTATGTTTTCATTTGTATGCAATTTCTGACCGTGGCTATCTATCAGTGCATTAGGGCATGTTCATATGTGAGCAGTTCTTCAGCATGGTTATATCAATACATGTGCATGTTTTCACATGTTTACAATTCCTGAGCATGAACATATGCAGACATGTGCATGTTCACATGTCTGCAGTTTCTAAGTGTGGTCATATGAGAGTATTCTCATGTGTGCAGTTCCTGTTTGTGGTCATATATCAGTGACTATGCATATGTTGCAAGGCATGAAGATAAAATATATCAATAGTTTTTTTTTAATTCTTAACCCAGTTTTAATTATTTGTTAAAGACTTAAGGCATAACATATATCTGCCTCTACACCCAGCTTAAGCATTTCTTTTTTTTAATGTTTGTGAGTTGTCAAAAGTAGGGTAAAACTTCCAGATCAGGATGAAGTTTGGCATTTATGACTTCATTATTATTTTAAAATAAAAGCAGATGATTATTTTTAAATATTCATTATGATGTAACATATTAAGATTATCTGCAAACTCTTAAGATCTCTTTGTAAGTCTTAAAGCAGGTTTTTAAAATGACAATAAAAAACATATTTAGAGTTTTCTTTTATATTGGCTTGGCTCAGATAGGGCTCTTAGAAAGCTCATTTATTTGTTTTTAAAAAGGCAGTAGTTGTAAAAATATCCTTAAAGGCACAGAGCAATTAATCCTCTTAATCTTTGACTCATTTATTTGTTTTTAAAAAGGCAGTAGTTGTAAAAATATCCTTAAAGCCTTTAAATGTTTGTATTTATATGCATATTTATACAAATATATCTAAAGGCACAGAGCAAGTTATCCTCTTTGGAATAAGGAGTTGAGTAGTTCAAAGGAGGACACTTAGCAGGGAAGAAAGCATATCCTAGAGTATGAGAAATCTTCTCTCAAAGATAATTTATACCGTCAATCACTAGGGACCATGTTGTACAACCAGAATTGAGATAAGAATTAAGGAGATAACATCTTTACCAGAACTGTATGATTACATATATCTTGTTTTAAAAAATAAAAATTTTAAATTTAAAAACTCATTCTAATTGCCTCAAAGAAAGGTTTAAGACCATCAGTCATCTCTATTTGTTTTATTTACATGGTCACATTGATTAAATATATTCCTTTGTATTTTGACATTATTTTGTTCCTAAAATTTTAATTTTACTATAAGCCAAAAGGAAGTTGGGCCAAGTTAATAATAACTTTAGTTTATATGAGCACTTACTTTATTTTTTATTCTTCTTTTATACAGTATATCTTTATCGAAGCTTCTCCTCCCTCCACTCCTCCCAGTTCTTACCCCACCTTCGCTCTGCCCAGATTTTCCCTATCTTCCCCCCAGAAAAGAGCAGGCCTCCCAGGGACATCAACCAACCATGGCACAACAGGATACAATAAAACCAGGCACAGACCCTCACATCAAGGCTGGATGAGGCAACCCAGTAGGAGGGAAAACGTCCCAAGAGCAGGCAGAAGAGTAAGAGATA